CAATGCTGAGATTGCTCCACAGCTGTAAGGGATTGAAGCTACTAGATATGGAATCAAGCTTTGGAGAAACTCTGGACACAATTCCAGCATCCGAAATAAATTAAACAGTCTTGCTCTCTCTCTCTCATCCACCCTGTTAGTAGCCTCTGGGCTGAGTGGAGACCACACACTGGGACCACACAGCGCCAGCTGAACTCCTTGCACGCAACATGTACAAGCTGTCACTCTGCAGCACAGAGAAAGGAGAAGGAAAAGGGAGGGCTGGGGGGGGAGAGGATTAGAGAGTGAGAAAAGGAAAGGGAGTGAGGGGGAGGGAGGAAGAGAGAGAGCAGAGTCTCCTCTACTTACAGCTGGACAGAATGTGTGGTATGGAGAAAGGAAAAAACCTCCCAGAGAAAACAAGCTGGTCATGGCCTTATGTAGCCTTGACCTGTACTCCCCCATACCAATTTAGTAGTTGATGAAGGATTAACAAAGCATCCATTTAACATCAATTAACCTCCTATCCATCACAGGTCAGAAGAGAAAATTACCATTATAAAAGCATTTTATTAAAGTAAAAGTTAAAAACTATTATAATTTATAATAATTACTTTAATGAATGCATTTTCTTTTAGATTTATGTTATATTAGTTTTAACTCATCTGCCTCTTTTCCTTTAATGAAGCACACAGGGTATATTTAAAGTATTTATTCAAAAGAGATCTGAAATTTTTAATTTTATAACTTTCCCATATTTCATTGTGTCACAATCTTTAATTTTCCAAAGTACTATTTTTACATAACTTCAGACTAAAAATAACTAGTAGCAGTAATATTAAGGGAGTTAAGGGAGAGCAACAAAATTAACCACAAAGATAGGTCTAGAATTTGTTTTACTATTAAGAATTTTTTTAAAATAGGAGACAAGAAATCTGAACAAAACGGTGTGCATGTGTCTTACCCTGGCAGGTCCCCAGAGGTTCAACTCAGGTAAAGCTAGGTGTTGGAAATATAGAAGCTCTGACTCACTGAAGATCAAGGAAAGCCTCCTGATGTTAAAGCACTATTTTCTTAGATGAAGCCATAGTAAAAATTTCCCCTCAAAAAACATCAAAAAAATAAAAATTCCCAAAACCTATCTTTCTCCATGCTACTCAAACTTGCATCAAGAGGGAGCAAATCAGAAAGGTGAATCTTAGGACTTCAGTCCAATCCAACTAAGTCAGAATCTACATTTTAGCCATTTGTGTACAGATTAATGTTTGATAAGCACTAGGTAGACTTATCCAGTCCAGAGCCAACTTGGATCTCAAGGCTCCACAAAAATCTGTTTGCAGAGCTACCTACTGAGTCTTGACCATAAACTTAACTAGTATCTCAGGCTACCCAGCAACATAATCAAACTATTGATTTCACCACATCTTCCTTGAGTCATGTTCAATCTAGCCAAGGATAGACTTGATCCTTGAGGCTAGGCTGAACTTGCCCCAAAACAGATCTTCCAGAGAAATTAGAGAAAGGGTTTTAAAGAATGGCAATTTACTTCCTTCAGTTTTCTATAAATTCAGACTCTATTATTCCTCAGCAGCTCTATCACAAGTTGGACAAGTCTTAGCAACAGGGTCATGAACTCTTTGGTCCAGTTTTCTATAATAATCATCTCTCTCCTGCTCCATCTCAAAATTATAGTTAACAAAATTATAACCATGAGCCAATCTAAAAGAATCCAGGTGCCCTATCACAACCCAGGACCCCTAGGGAGATGTTGGAGAGCTGGTTTCGGATCTCCTCAGGCTGGGCTGAGGAACCCACCTGGTGCACAAATCCGTGCACCAGGCTGGTTTCAGCCTGATACCCACAGGCCAGGCCAAGGGACACCACCAGTGCATGCACAAATCTGTGCACTGGTCCTCTAGTATTCATATAAAATCTTTGGTTAATCTTTTCCTACCCTCCTCCCTTCCTCACCCCCCTCCCACCCCCGCTCTGAGATTCATCAGTCTGTTCCATGTTTCCATGCCTGTGGTTTCCACTCCTGTGTTCAGCGCCTGCCCCCTGGTGGTCAGTGCGCATCACAGCTACTGGTCAAACAGTCAAAGGGTCAAATGGTTGCTTAGGCTTTTACATATAGATGGTATAGACTGACAGATGTCAGATGGGAGATTTGGGGGAGTTGGGGGGTGTTGATGGGATGAAAGAAGGGGAAGAAATAGCCAAAGAATATATAAGCATACTCCTTGGACACAGACAACAATGTGGTGGCAGCCAGAAGGAGAGAAGGGAGGCATCTAGGAAGAGGGGAGGTAGGCAGGAAGGGAATAAAGAACATCTGTAATAACATCAACAATAAAAAGAAAATCATAGCCCAGCCAGTGTGGCTCAGTGACTGAGTGCCAACCTACGTACTAGGAGGACACAGTTCAATTCCCTGCCCCAGTTGCAGGCACAGTCCCCACTGAGGGAACCACAGGAGGCAGCTGATCAATGATTCTCTCTCATCACTGATATTTCTCTCTCTTTTTCCCTCTCCCTTCCTCTCTCTGAAATCAATATAAAAACATATTAAAAGAGAAAATCATAAACTATCCAAAACCACTGAACTATGTAAGTGAAAGAGGCCTAAAAAATTCATTTTGATGAAGCCAAGGGCTAAACCTGCCAAAAGCAGCACAACTAGCAAATAGCAGTTCATTCAGTGTTGCACAGTGATTACTAATGCTGACTTTGTGCCAAGTAACAAAGTTATGCTCTGTGCCAGGTACTTTGTTCCAGGTAACAAAGGCATGCTTGGGTCCACGTGGTGCAGTTTATATTCTAATTAACTAAAATCCAGGATTCCTAAATCCTGGTGTCCACTGTTCTTTCCATTATTGCAGCCAGATTTTCTGTGAGAAATAGTAAGTAGAAGGAATTACTAAAACCAAAATCATAACTAAAGCAAACTGTAAAGTCCCACCCCCCATATTATGTTAATAAGTGTACATCAAGTTTTTGAGCAAACCTAATATAATTTTAAAGTGGTAGGAGGGAGCCCAATCAGTCAGTTTCAAATTATTGTTCCTGGCCTTCAAGTCACTCCATAATTCAAAATGCATCACTTACCTACCAGTCAGTGGGCCTTTAGTCCTGGTGTGCTGCCCAGATGTTCATCTACCTTCCCTCTGAAGGCCACATCCTTCCCACCAGGCTCTGACTTCCATGAAGCCTTCCCAGTTACTCTACCTCAACAGATTGTTCCCTTCTCTGAATTCCTGCTCTACTTACAGGCAATACTATGGTTTAGTTTTTAGCTATTCTTTAAAATGGAAAAAATGCCCCTTCTGAATCTAAGCTAATATTATTTTATTCCCAATGTGTGTCAGGCATACGCTAAAACTGGTAGGTAGAAAAATGACTGAGGCTAATCCTTGTCCAGCAAGAACTTAATCTTTTGACAGATATGTAAATATCAGCAATAACTATAGCCCCTAATACTTGTCATAACACAGGGATATGACAAATGCTAAGTGATTATAGGATTCAGAGTTGGAAAACTTCAAAGCAGAAAAAACTATGAAAAATAATCTAGTTTTATGTATTTTCTAATTATAGGAAAATGGAGACTGCAGCCCAAAGAGGCTAAGAAACAGCCCAGGCTACAAAAGCACATAGGTGGTTGCTTTCACTACTAACCCAAAATACCTGTGACTGTAATTTTCAAAATGAGGTCCAAAGATACCTCTAAGTGTGTCCACACCTTCAAGATTCGTAATTTCTTAACAATTACTTTGTGTTTATATCAATAATAATTATTTAAAATTAACATAAATATAGAATTGTGTGATTACAACTGAACACTACTACACCACTGGATTTCACCAGCCACTCCAGGGGACACGTGGCCAGGTTCCCTGAAGTCTAAGAACAATCTACACTCTAGCATTCTCCTTAGCACTATGATTAATGCTATTTCACATTCTAGTTCATTTCAAAATCCTCTCTACTTATTGATGGCCAAAAATTATCCATTCAGTAAACACTTAAGCTCCTACTCTGCAGTCAGTGCTAAACTAGGAATCCTGGCTAGAGGAAGAGGAGTAAGCTAGAGAATGGGTGAAAAAGTAACTGAGCAGCATTTCTTCTACCGCCTGATCCCGCCTGACCCCGCCTGACCCTCGAAATTGTCAAAAGTCCTTTACTAGAAGACTGCCTTTGCAAAGTTTTTCGAGTACCAATCAATTTCTTTTCCCATAAGATTTATATAACATGCTCTCAAATATATGGAATGTAAACTTAACTTAGCAGGATAACAGTGGTCTTCTCAAAAGAGAATATTCAAAATGATGTTCAGTACAGGAAATTAAATGCCTGACAAGGAAAAAATCATTTGTGAAACTTCCTATCATTGTACCTAGTTACAATGGGGAATCCTCTGCTTCTCTGCTTAAAATTAGTTTCTTTTTAAATCTAACAGAACATTTAAATAGTAAGCACACATCATCCTCTTTCTATTATCCTCCTTGATTCAATACCTTTGAGTACACAAGTGACCCTGGGGAAGTTTCTGGGTTTCAGTTCCTTTGTTAATAGTCTGGTACACGGGGCCTGCCCAGAATATACTAACACAAACGAAACAGTGTTACTATTAGAAAATAGGTCCATCCATATTAGCCTGAATTGATAGCAGCTTTCCAATACAGTGCACCCAATGATTTCATTAACCTGTGGCTGATTTTTAGAGTATTTTTTAAGTTTTCCCAGACTCGAAAAACAATGAAACAAATTTTCTCCTACTTATTGGTATGATTAGCCTTCAATGATTAAAACTAGCTTATTTCCTTTCAAGAAGTGTTTGTTGGAATTGAGGAAGCATCCGCATACTAAGTCCCTGGAGGGCGGGCCAGGCGCCGCCAGGTCTGTGGGCGAGTTACTGAGCGGGGAGCCGGCTCCAGAGCCCGGCGGCAGGTCTCGGGCAGCTCCAGCGGATAGGACCTGACAGGTCACCCACCGCTCTGGGCTGGTTCTGCAACAGCACCTACCTCCAGGGGAGCCGGAGCCGCCAGCTGGCAATGCTACGACTGTGACAGACGCCTGGGAAATGCCCAGTGTAGCCCTAACCTGTGGCACATGGGTGCAAGCCGCGCCTACCGCTCGCCCAGCACCGACAGACATATCTTCAGACATAACTCGGTGGCCCTGGCGCAGGGGGCAGGACAGAGTCCCAGGCCCGGCCCCACCGGGTGCAGGCGGCAGCCAGACTCCCCTCCCGGTCGGACAGAGGACAACCGGCTCGGGCCGACAGCCGCTCCCATCCGTCTCTTCGGAAACTGGCTCGCCGCCGCCAGGGCATCCGGGTTCGACACGTACCTTGACCTCCCAGCCGCCCCTCCAGCAGCTCCACAGTGTCCCAGCCGCTTCCGGGAAAAGCTGTCGGCGGCGACCCTCAGCCGCCAGCCTCCACTTCCGCCCTCTCGGAGCGCCGAGAGAGTCGATGCACCGGGCAGCCGAGCGCCGAGTCTGTGATGGGCCCTGGCGGGGCGAGGGCCGCGGGGGAGGGGCGAGGGCCACGGGGGCGGGGCGAGGGCTCGGGGGCGGGGCGAGGACCGCGGGGGGGGGGGGGGGGGGGGGGGCGGGAGAGGGGCTAGAATGACCAGAACTCAGCAGGACCCTGGAAATTGTGGAGGAGAAAGTTATTCTGCAGCCTGCAAGGCCTGAGCTTTGATGGCTTAAACTCAGCTAACTCGGTGAACACAGTGAACACACCTACGTGTACAAAGGTGATGACATCAGGCAGTCACCTCAGTTCAGGGTCTCGCTGGTGTGTGGGTAATCCATGACAGGGCAAGAGGACAAGATGTGTCACTTAGAATGATGTGAGGATGGCAGAAGGTGGTGCCCAGAAAATGACAAAATACTCTTCTGGTTGCTTCTATTTATTAGCCAAAGAAGCAGCAGGATCATCCTTTAAAATGGAGTATGAGGGGCAAGGAAAATTTGAAGAGAAAGAATGAAACCTTTGTCTTGGATATTGTGAAACAAATTACTAAGAAAACTGTGCTAAGACTAATTGGGATGTGTTGTCCTAAGTATTAAGGTCACCGAAGTAGGAACGGAGGAACTCGAGGCCAAAAGGGGTAAAGAATTATAAATTTATCATTACATCTGCTAGCAAAAGGACTGAGACCAAAATGGTATGGAAGGATGGGTAGAGTAGGGCAGCGTTTTTCAACCGCTGTTCCGCGGCATGTTGCCTGGTGTGCCGTAGGTGCAGACAAGACAAGAATTTTATAATTTTTCACTATTTTGTTTACTTAATATTTCATAATAAAGTAATTATAAAATAATTTCTTTGTGTTTATTTGATTCCTATTCAAGAGAATTACTTTATATATAGTCAATATAGGCACAGAGTTAAATTTTTTAACATTTTCTAATGGTGGTGTGCCTCGTGATTTTTTTCATGAAACAAGTGTGCCTTTGCCCAAAAAAGGTTGAAAAACACTGGAGTAGGGAAAGTGGGGTATTTATGTCTCTTATAAAGGTCAGAGGAAACTGGGTTAGGTGGTTTACTGGAAAGGGAAGGCCTTAATCATGAAACCTACAATCCCCTTGAGAGGCAAGAGCCTCAAGTGGGGCATAATGGAGCTCAAGAATGACCTAACATAAGTTTAAAATAGAACCAGTCATCATGCTTTTGTATGTATTGGCCATTGTGGTGTAGGTAGTTAGTAGAAAACTATTTGTAACTATAGTTGGAGTTTTGCAAGGCAGAAGGAGCAAGGAGCAAAGGAGTTGAGAGTCTATTTTTTTTAAATGACATTATGGAGGATGATGGAGTTTAAGCTTGTGTCACAGGGTTTTCAGAGGGTTTTTATAGTAGTCCTGGAATTGTCCACTGAGATTGGAAAAGGTGGCAGATAACTAGGGTATCCAACTCTGCAAGAGATAACTTTGTATCTTGTTTGTTGTCCTGGTTTAATCAACAAAAGTGCCTCTTTTACTGTCAAAAGTGTCCCTGTTTGGACAATATATGGTCACCCTAAAGTCACTCCACATTACAAAGAGAGCTGGAAACAATAGGGGCCAGACATTTATTTGAGGTTTGGAAGTTATTCACCCAACTAGCTCTGAACCAGGTTAGTATCAGGAATCAGGAAGAAGCCTGTGCTTACTGCCATCAGGATGGAGCTGAGAATGGGGGTGAAGTTCTTGGAAGAATTTACCTGCCATTGGGACTTTATGTGATCAAGAATATGCTACCTGCTTCCAGACCAGAACTTCCCAAAGGTAGGAGACCTATTGCAGTGACCAGTTACAGTTGAGTAGAGAGGAGCATAGCCATGAAGTAGTGACATAACCATGGTGAGGGTGTTGCCACCTCTCACCCCAAGAACTCACACATGCACTACACACAAATTTCATCTTGCCCATCTATATGTGTCACATGAATGCCCAGCAGAGAGCATCCACAGCAGAGGGGCACCAGTGCCGAGAAAATTTGACCAGCCTCTGTCCTGGATCATCCCCATATTTGTGCAATGGACTATGAATGGATTAGCATGGTGGCAGAGATGGCAGATCTAGACAGGATGACTATTTGTACAGTGGCCAGTATGCAGCTGGTACCTTCCCTCAAGAAAACCAGGCAGTCACTTGGCAATAAAGTTTATTTCCACAAACCCTGTTACATATCCTAGGTTTGGGTTTGTCTTCCTGCCTGCAGGTCCCTGGCAAGCATTGCTATTGGGTTGCATACATAGAATCTGATTTTTCATTGTGGGACTTCCATGATATCACCTGGGGCCAGGAACTCCTTTTAGAGTGAAAGAGGTATGAGAAAGGGAGCAATACCGCAAGATCCAGTGCCATATATCACACACTCAGAAGCTGTGAGATAGAGAATAATGATAGAACATTAGAATAGCCTCTAAAGGCACAGCTAAGTCTGTGGATGACATTTTGCAGGGTTGCATTGCTGTGCCAAGGAATACAATACATATTTTGACATATCCTATCTAATAAAAGAGTAATATGCAAATTAAACATCACTCTGCTATGCCCACCAGCCAACCAGAGCGAGTATGCAAATTGACTCACCAAAGATGGAGGTTAATTTGCATAAGCAATCAGGGCAGGCAGCACCATGACCCACTTCTAGGGGCACAGGTCCATTGGAGCAGAGGAGGCCCTGCAGACAGCGCCAGACACCACCCACAAGGTACCAGTCTGTTGGCCGGGGAGGCGGGCTGGGCAGCACCAAATGCCATGGGAGGGGTATGGATTCATCGCAGGCCCCAGGAGGGGCAGGAGCCTGCCTAAACACTCCTGAGGTGCCCAGAGAAGGCATGGCCAGGCCAGCCTAGCCTTTCCTACTGGGCCCTGGCAACATGGGCGACATCAGCGCCCTGGGGAGGCACTGCCTGGCCAGCCTAGCTGCTACCATGCAGCCATGGGAACTTACATCGGTGCCCAAGGAGGAATGGCCAGGCCACCTAGCCACTCTCGTGGTGCCCTGGGGAACATCACAGGCATGGGGTTGCTAAGACCTAGACAGGGTCTCTGGACACAGATTCACAGTTCAGGGAGACTGAGGGCAGGGATCTGCCTCACCTGCAGAGAGACAGGGGTTCTGCAGTGGCCCCAAGACATAGGTGGGCTCAGCCAGGGATCAAGGGGCATGGAAGGTCCCTTACCCCTGAGGGGGGGGGGGTGGAACTGAGGGGTGGTGCCACCTCAGTGGAAGGGTGCCACACTGCAGGGTACTGGACTGACTGATGTGATTCAGAGAAGCTCCCAGTGCTAACTGGACTTGCTCAGACGGCCTTCCCACTTCAGAGGCAGTGACTCCTGCTACTGCTTTGACGCAAAAGCAAGTCCAAGGTGCCCTGCCCCATGGCAGAGCATGCCTAGGCAGTGAGTATGAAGCCTTTCACCTGCTCTGGAGAAGTGGGGGGGGGGGGGGGGGGGCAGTATAGAATGGGGGCAGGGAACCAGACTGGGGAGAGGAAAGAATGTGGAGCATCCACAATGAAGAGGTGCTTGAGAAAGAGGCTCAGAAGTCTGACTGAAAGGTTTGTTCTGTTTGCTGGGTGGCTGCCCCCTAGGAAGGGCAAAGAGCATAGCTCTGAGTGCTTCATGTGTGCTGAGTCAAGTTCCACAGCCAACTGGAATTGGCCTCAGTTTCCTGGTCTATAAAATGGATGAAGAGTGTCCAGTTCCTTCACTGAGCTTTAATGGCCAATTGAGATACTATAAAGAAAATGAGGGAAGAAGTGAGAAAGAAAAGGAAGGATGAGCAACACAAAAGAAAGTCTGGAAGAAACCTGTAAACCCATTGTCACTGAAATAGGGAATATAGTCTAATGATGATACAATGTGTTCTAATGATGATACAATGTCAGGTGGATACTGGAAATATCAGGGAACACTTTGTAAAGTATATGATTGTCTAACCACTATTCTGTAAGTAATATAAAACCCGAAACCAATACAAAATAATATTGAATGTAAAGAAATGAAAATTGGAGTGAAATTTTTATAAATTTTAAACTTTAAATAAAAACTGTAAAGGAAAGAAGGGGCCGAAACCGGTTTGGCTCAGCGGTAGAGCGTCGGTCTGCGGACTGAAAGGTCCCAGGTTCGATTCCAGTCAAGGGCATGTACTTTGGTTGCTGGCACATCCCCGATGGGGGGTGTGCAAGAGGCAACTGGTTGATGTTTCTCTCTCATCGATGTTTCTAGCTTCCTATCCCTCTCCCTTCCTACTGTGAAAAATCAATAAAATATATTTTTTAAAAAGAAAAGAAAATACCATTAGAAATAAGAAATTTCTTTGGGTTTAGCCTCGGAAAACACTATGGTAGTCACAGTTTCCTATTTTTCAGATTTTTTAAAAACATTAATGTGTTTCATAATGCATGGTATATCAGTTTGTAATGGAACATATTACTATAAAATCTAATCTTCAAAACTACAATTTGCAATTATCTTAGTGGTTCCTTTTACCAAAGACTAACAATTGTTTGGTCTTTTGTTAACTCGGCTTCTAAGGCCCTTGCTGGAAGATTCTTGTCATACTTATCATTATAGACACCTCTGAGCCTTATGCAGCAGGTATTCAATACACCAGTCATCAGTAATAGCACTAACCACAACT